CAGTTTCATAAGTTTTAATTATACGTTTGTACTTATTTGTTATGTCTACTCAATTCAACTCTAAATTCTATGTGGGCAGAGACCTTGCCTTTTCTGGTCATCATTGTACACGCAGTACCTAGCACAGTGCCTGGCTTAGAGTAGGTGCTCAATAAAAATGTGTAGGATGAATGAATCAGCACCTAAGAGTCCGTCAAGGAGTTTTTATTTAAAATCTAAATGTTGTCTTAAATGAGGTTTCAGAGCTCTTAAAACACCCTGGAACCAGAAAACCTTTCCTCTGCAACCAAAAGTCATTCTGGGGAAGCTGACTTCTCCAAGAAGCTAGGGGTGGGTAGAAAGACACCCCAGAAACTCAGCTGGAGAGTTAGACTGTGCACAATGAGAATCCAAGGGCATTAAGAAGCCTCGGGCGTTGGCCCAGTAGCTTGATAAAGAGGCCACAGGGAACACCAGGGCTTTCTGTTTGTTTGTGTGTTTGTTTGTTTGTCTGTCTGTCCTGGCAGTCCTGGAGTCAGGTCTACTTGTCCACTGGGTGACAGAGGACCAGATCCTCCTCCAGAGTGACCAAGGACTGAGAGGGACAGTGATGGTGCCATTGAAAATATAGTGAAGCACTAAGATGATTGTAAATGTCAGTAGTATTAGGCAGAACAATATGCATTTCATTTCTGGTCCTGGTCCCTTGAAAACAAACTGATGAGTTCTGGCTTGGCTAGGTCCACCTGCGACTGTTCTAAGGTAGTGGCTGGCTAAGTAGGTCAGTGGTGCTTCCTCTGGGCCAGTTGTCGTGGAAAAGAAGGGCAGGCGGTCCTGAAGGCGAGCGGCTTCTCTGGTGTGTGAGTGGAACCTGGAAAACCAACCATGAGCTGGAGGGTCTTGTTCTCGATTCAGTTGGGAACAAGAGGAGAGAGTGTAAGGAAGCAGGGCCTGTGGCTTCAGCTACCCTGAGAAACAACCATGGCTCCTTGATGATCCCTCCTCCTCCGCTTGGGAGCCCTACCAAGGTGTGCTTCACACATCCGCCACTGGCTGCTCCACATCCTCATCCCTTACGTCACAATTCAAGATGTGTTCAAAGAGGATGGCAGGGAAACACAGCCCTATCTTATCTCCTAAACACCTTCCATCCATAGAAGGTTCTGCCTGGATCACGTCTACTCCCTGTTGGAAACAGAAGCAACAGCTACATCCCTGTTCCCCCAAAGCTCTCATCATTCTCACTGGCACCCAGCACAGGCATGTCACCGTGCTGTCACTCATAGGGATCTGCTTGTCAAATACAAGTGACATCATTGTTGTGCTGGGAGGAGAAACAGGGCTTTTTAAAAAAGGTAAAAACAATGCTATCGATGGTTTATTCACAGAGTCCCAAATGATTTCCAACACCAAAAGATACTGTCTTACAAAGGTCAGGTCTGTAAAAGCAACTTTTAAAAGACAAAGGAACCCTCATTTCATGACAAAGCAAGTCCCAGCTCATCTGAGTGTTGTGCAAGATCAATGTTTTCATGTCCTAGAGCCTGACATTCCTCAATAGGTGGGATGCTGATGACTTGGCATTTTGGCAATTGTGCACATACACGCAGAGGTTTCTGAGCGAGGGAAATGGAAATGTTTTTAATAAAAAAAAAAGAGAAGAAATCAGTAACAGACGAGTGTCCCAGCAGCATGGCAAAGTACTTCAAGTTGTGTAATTCCCCTTGGCGTGTCCTAACAGCACAGAGGCACAGCTTGGGGGAATGAGACGAGGAGGGAAATCCTAAATATAATGCAAGGAGGTCTAAGAGGGGACAGACCAAACAGTGATGGGTAAAACTGACCACAGGACCCCTCAACAGGAGGGAGGCCAAGCAGCCAACATGTCCTCTGCCGGCTCTCGCTCATCACACTCTGAAGCTGGCTCTGGAGAGACTGGGTGATAGGGGGACAACGATTTCTACTCAAGACCTCCAAGTGCTGGGGAGAGGTGTGGCAGACCTCATTCCTGCAGCCTTTGCCTAGTCAGTCTGCAAGAGAGGTCTGCCCTAGATGGCAAATTGGAATTTCTGAGGCTGGGTGGAGGAGACACTGGGGTAAAATTGGGGGTGGGGTGGGAAAGGGGGGGAAAGAGGATTTTGCACTATATTTGGGGCTGGATGGAATCTCCCATTACTCTGCACAAATAGGCAGGGGCCGCAAAAACCCATACACAGCTCTGGACTCTTGCTTCCCTCGTGACACTTGTATCCAGAGAGCGTTCACAACTCTGTCTGGGGAGAAGGACCCACGATACAGAAGAATCCTCATTCCCCTGTTCAGTCTGGAGATTTGAGGGGAGAGTCGGGTTTAGTGGCTACCCGCTTATATCTTCTGGGGCATCCGTGAGGGACAAGGGGGAACAACCCACTTTGCTCATGGTCACTGAGCCATCTGTGTTCTCCAAACTGCATGGAGGGATTTAATTACATAGACATAAGAGTACAAACTAGGATAATTAAAATGCATCCTTCTGGGGTAATAGTCAACATCAGACAACCAAATGTCAAAAACTCTCTGTCAAAGCTACAATGTGAACTCTGCAAATCAGCCCATGTTAGGAGCCCAGATGAACTTGCTCACGTTACATGGGGCTTTAATGGTTCCCAAATGTTTACTACGCAAGAGCCGACCCAAAGGAATATTTCCACTTACCACATTTCACAAAGTAAAAAGATTATTTTTAGGGACTCTTCGTATATTCTGGGGGAAAAAAAAATCTATTCTCATTGATCTCAAAGCACGTTACAAATAGACAACCAAGCATTGAAAAAGAACCCTTGCTCCCGACCTCTCTCCTGTCTCTGTGCTTTTGTGGGTATGGAAGGATTATGAAGTCATCTCTGCTGTTGGGAGAAGAAAGAAAGAATGAATCTGGGGAGAAGCAATGATAACTGCAGTGGGGCTGTGTACCCTCAGTGGGTTCATCAGAAGTTTCAGTCTTAAATGAAAGCACCTGCACAGCTGGCTACGTACACCACACACTGGACCACTCTGCTCTCATTTTTTCAAACTGAGGCTCAAGTAGAAGGAAACTCCCTAGGGATAATGGTGGCAATATGTGTTGCAAGGGACTACGGGCCTCAATCCAGTGTGAGCACCGTATTCATTAGCATGGCTGCTTTCAAAATCGGAACAAGTCGCGGCCCTCTAGGAAGCACAAAGTGCCCACATTGAGAGGGGCAGCAAGATCTCCGGCCATAGGAGAGTAGGACCCAGGAGTCTTGGATTCTAGTTCTCATCCCTTTACCTTCTTACCACACCGATGACACTGACCCAATGGCTTAACTTCTCAGAGTCTGTTTCCTTACCTACTGTTTCCCAACAATAATCCCTACCCATCTCCTATAGAGGCTGTGGGGATCTAATAAAATGACAGGGTTCTTTTCAAACCCAAAGGCCCTATGAATTTCCAGGACTCATATTCTTCTCTGTGTAAGATGAGGATAAGACATAACATATGTAAATTAATGTATCTGAATCACAAATCAAGTACGGAGCCAGAAGTTGCCCAGGACTGCTTTCCACAAAATTCCTATGACTGAAGCTTCATCTTCCGGTGATACAGAACAGAAACAAGAGTGACAGTGGAAATACTATAATATAGGTCCTGGGGATGTCACCCGACCACTGGGAAGCCTTGGTGGTTGGCTACAGAGAGAGAGAGAGAGCAGACAAAAGAAAGTGGGGAGGAAAGAACCAAACGAAAAGCAACACATCCCCACCTCTCATTTTCCCTGGCTCTGCCTGTCTCTGCTCCACGCTGTAGAGTTAAAGCAAGGGTTGGAATAAACTGGCCTTGCTCTCACTTCTTTTTCACGCCCCCATTTTCTGTTAGATTAAACACCCTCAGTCGTGGAAAATGGGAGGAATGGTTAAAAGAGCTCTCAGGAGCACATGGCACCAGCCAGGTGGATGGGCAGGCTTAGGACCTCCTGGGGGAGGGGTGCTGCACAGCAGAAATGAGTCACCTTAATCTCTGTCTGACACTGCGTTACCATGAAGTTTTTCATAATAAATACCAATAAACTGGAAGTAACCTATAGTTTAACTGGAAAGTTACAATTAACTATGTGGTCTAGTAAACTGAGGGTTAGTTACAAAGGAAAATATACTCCCCCGCTTTCATCATTTTTTTAAATGCTTTGATCCCTTTGGGTGATAATCTTGAAAAAAATGTGCATCTTCCCTTTCATAACACATTCTTCATTCACCAAGATTCCCCACACATAAAAAGGATCTTGAAAGTCCCTGAGATGGTCATTTCTAATTTTGCTGCCATGCAAAAGTAGACCAGTTGGCTGGTGAGGGCAACAGCTTGGCGTCTCACATTGACTATACTGTCTGGTGGTCATCATGAAGGCATGAGCTCTCACAAAGTGAGAAAAATTTTATTTCTTGGTGGAAAATCACTGTCAAGTGAGAGAGAAAACTTTGGTGGAATTTGAGTATGTGGTTACCTTGTATAGATAAACTTGGGAACCAGATGATTTTTTGATGTGATTTGGAAGGAAGAAGTCAACACAAATATATCTGAAGTTGCAGACTTGGGGGTTTGCGATCTCAGGACATATTCTTTTTGAATGTTGAGGGTCTACTCTGCAGATAGCAAAACATAACTGGATTCTTGATGACTGAGAATATGGCGGGGCCTCAGAATCATGACTCTGGCTTGGGGCTAAGGGAGAGAGAGGTAGAGGGTGTGGGAAATTGGATAGTGTTCTAACTTCAGAGCAATTTAACAAATAAATTCTTGATTTGGTCATTACTTGTTTCCTGAGCTTGAGAGATGAACCTCTGGAGATGAAAGTGATACAAACACTTAATTGATTGTTCAGATTTATTACATTCTACTCCATCCTTGAGTTACTGTGGAGCTCCATGAGGAGCTGCTTTACCCAATTAAAAAGAAACCAGTAACCTGTACTTAACGAGAGGTTAAACCTAATGAAAAGCTGTTTGGAAGTTTTACGTAGAGCATCCTTTGTGTGAACAGAGCCAGAGAGAATATGGTCACCACAAGGTATCATTATTAGGGAAATGATGAGGATGAGTTAGCAGTTAGCTAAAGGCAGAGGCCATGTAGAAGGAAAGGTTGAGGAAAAACAGGAAGAAAGCATAATATTCCACTGTTTCTTCCTGTTTTGTTCCTGCTGCTGTCCTCATCCCCCCATTCTGCAGTCAGACAAACGATGAGGAAGAAGTCACACCATCTCTCATCCCATTATTTCTCCACATACATACACAGACACGGGAGCTAAATTCACAAGTGACACCATTGAAGCAGCAATGCTTGGGCTGTATGTGCAAATGAGTGTTATCTGTGCAAAGCGCTATGCCTCAGGCATAGGAATGCCTGCTGGGAGAGACTGTTCTTGTGTGGGACAGTGACAGAGACCCAAGGCCTCCTGCAAACCCCACTGGATTTATGGAGACCCACGACACCCATGCATGTTTACCTGGGGAGCCTGCCAGAGAGTCCCCTCTGCTGAAGGCGAAGGTATGGGACACAGAGACGGGCACTAAAGAGTCAAGGGCCAAGGATTTATGAGTTGCAAAGGGGAAGATAAACAAAAGGAGAGAGACAAAGAGCGTGGGTGAGACAGTCTGTTCCTGGATCTTAACAGCATCACATTTCTCTGCAAAAGGGAATCTTGCCTCTGAAAACATGGAAATCGCACCCTCTTACAAAGTCACTCTCCAGAAAAAGGAAAAGGAAATAGACTTTACTGAAGGTCTTCCAAAGAAGATGCACAATAATTCTGGAGGGAATCAGACCTGCCCATGACAAGAACAGGCAGTGGGGAGCGCGCGTATGCAGCACTCTCTCTGAACCAGCCAATCTGTTGCGAGCCCAGCACAGCATTCCCACCAGGCTCTCCCAGCTGCCACATGTGTCTGCTCACCTACCGGAGGGCTGAGAGCAAAGTGCATGCTCCTGCTAGAGGCACCCTTGAGGAAGCTGCATCCTGCCTGGGGTCCCCAGGGGCTCCCTCTGTGGTCACAGTGTAGGCGAGCAACTGTGCATTGCTGAAGGCTTGGGATACAGGCAGGGCAGCATTTCCAGTATCTTAGTGGGAATCAACTTGATGAATTAACTCATAGTCACTTCTTAGCAAGTACAAGTGCTCCGGAGCGCCTCTCTTCCTGTCCCCTTTCCTTCTCTCTCTTTCCCCCCACACAGGGACCAAAATGGTGCTGGCTGTCTGTCACTTGGGGCCTGAGCGGGGTGGGGTGTGTAGCAATACGCCAATCCTTTCCCCATCTTGACCCTGATCAAGCAGTGTTTCTGCTTGGAAATCTGTCTCCGTCTCTCTTATCTGATCATTCCGAGTCCCTTCCAAGGAGCTAGTCGAAGCCAGTCTGCAGGTGACAGCACACTGAAATAGGCAGCTTTCTGTGGTCTGTACCAGGTGATTTTACTGCAAGTACCCACACATGCAGGGGTGTGTGTGCAGGGGGAGCTTGATACCTACCTCACAATCATCTACTCTGACATGAGATGTCAAAGAATACTTGAGTGGGTCTCTAATGTTGTGAGACGCACTGGAATAAGAAACCCCATAGTCTCAAGAAGAATCCTAGCACTTCTGGGATGCAAATGAAATGTATATCCTGTCAAGCAGATAGGAGACTTGCACTCTCCCTGCCTGCACAGCCCTGTGGGCTTCTGTTCTGGTGACTCTGAGCTCCGGTCCAGTTCCTCCAGGGTGCCAGGCTTACCATGGTCCTCCTGGGTTCCCTGGCAACCAGAACCAAGATGAAGGAGACAGTGCTGGCTGTGTTCCCTTTGCTTTGCACAACAAAGCCAGAGTGACTTACCTGTACCCTCAAATTCAACTCTGAGGGATTGGTCACAGGGCCAGTGTGCTGGCAAACTCGTCATCACATTTATCACCCTCAGTGGCTGACAGAGATCTAGGCTGGTTTCAAAGACAGAGGCAGTTTGCTAGACAAGAGTTTACCGCCTTGTGGCTCAACCTTAAGCTCTCCCTCAACCTACAGGCTGAGGCTCTTGGCCAGTGAAGGATGCTGGGTGGCTGGACCCTGGGCTGAACGTTCAACCAGGGACAACTGTAGGGTGTGACAGTCTTGGGAATTATTTCACACCTCACTAAGCGGGGAGGGCCTGGGGGGAGGATGGAAAATGTCTCTATACCCGCCACAGACCAATTTGTTTTCTCCCTGAAGATTCCTAACGATTCTCAGAAGTGTGGGGAGAGAAAGAGTTTAGTGTTCCCTTTTAGTTAACCAGGATTGAAGGAGAGATTGGTGTTGCAAGTGTACTCCTGTCTCAAGTTTACTCCTTTACTCAGCTTAATCCTGATAAAATGGGAGGATTCTGATAGAACTAGGGAAAGAAAGGATGGAAAGGAGGAAACCAGATAACATCTTCCTACTACTTTTAATTTTTTTTTTAAAGAAAGAAGATGATCTAAATTAAGTGGGTTGGGTAGCCTTGTAAAGCTCTTTTGGCCCAAGTTCCCACCTTCTCTGGTCTTCTGGAAGGCCCAGCACAGGACTAACATGTCTAGGTAAGATTCGGAATCCCGGAAGTTACTCTACCTTGAGCAATGTGACGGATGGAAATCTCCTTTAGAGAACCAAGGTTTACCCGGTCCCGGAGCCCATCCGTCTTCCATCCAGAGTTCTTCTGAGTACCAATGCTTCCTCCAGCAATCTTGCTTGAGATTTGTTGGTTTATAGAAGCATACTAATGTACCAGGGTTTTTAAATTTTACAGATCTCCTTTAACTCATGTTGGGTGGCCCCGTGGGTTTGAGCAGCTCCTCCAATTTCATTTCAGCCCTCTGCTGGGCTAGGGTGTGAAATTACAGTGTAAACTGTTTCAATAGTCCCACATAGAAATTGCATTCTGGAACATGACGGATCGCAAAGCTGTATTTCATTGTGCTGTGTGAACTAGTCTGGGCATCAGAATGAATCTGGGTGAGACCCTAGCTTGCTGGGTTATTGGGAGCAAGTCATTTCTTTAGTTTCTCTATGTTAAAACAGTATCTACCTTTCATGGGCCAAGGATTGTGATATCAAGCGTTGGGACCCTCTGAGAAATCCAATGTAAAGTACTACGCAAAATGTTTTTTACGATAAGAGAAAACACCTCATTTGGCATTAAAATAGCCACTGTACACGCTAACAGCTGAAAGCAATGCATAATTCAGACCCGTGAGTCAAAAAAAAAATCTAGAGAAATAATTATTTCTGGATCAGACTCACATCACAATAAACGCCATGCCTTCGAAACACAAGTGCAATAGTTCTAGGCAGGAAACAGCGAGAAGGTAGAGCACAGGAGGGCACAGCACACCAGCCAGAAGCCCTGTTCCAGCCCCCACCATCCACATGCACAGCCAGCTGGCAGGCACCTCTCCACACAGAGATGTGGCAAATGAGGAAAGAGAAGCAGATAAGCAACAGATTGCATCAGCCTGGGACTTCCATCCCAAGAACGTGCAGTCGCTTCTTACTAAACCCACAGACACAATAATAGCATGTTAGATTTTCAACTAAAGGCCAGTGGATAAATTATCAGCAGAGAAGGAAAGGCTGAACCTCCGCCAGAGCACACAAGTCACCTGCATTCCCCGATAGGTGACAATAAATCACGCTTCCCCTTACAACCTCCCTCCCCACCATTCATCACTTGCACATGAGCAGAGAAGCAGCAAACATTCCAGACACACAGAAACCAAGCCCCTGTGGCCTGTGGGTACCTGGCGGGAGGCAGTGTTCCTGGCAGAGCATTACAAAGAGGCTGCCAGCATTTGCGTTGCCCCAGCCCAGGCTCAGAGTGCTCGGTCCAGGTCCCCAGAGTAGGCTGAGGCAGGACTATGATGGGGAGGACGAGGAAGGGGTTTGAGAGATACATACGAAAGACAGAGGATCCAGCCAGACTTCCCACCTTCCGCATGTCGTTATCTAAGGACAGAAGGATGCAGTGTGTTTCAGAGGCAATTCAGAAAGCGCACCTTCTTAGTGGCCTTCTCCCTCTTCCACCCCACCCCCAGCACCAGGTAACCCTGCAAAAACCAGGCGATCAAATGGTAGCGTAAAAAGCAAAAGAAACGTGTCTTTTCATCCTAAAAATACCATTGTCCATCCCTAAGACTTGATAATGGTACCATCTACCATGTACGTCTGCAGACAAACTCTCTGAATGAAAAATGACTCTTACACTCACTTTACAGAATAGGACACTGAAGCCCAGGAAGTTAAATGGCTTGAGCAGGGTCCCTAACAGGAGTCAAGACTTGGAACCCAGATGCTTTTTTTCTACAAGATCCCATTCCTTCCCCAGTAAGCGTTGGCCTGGGAACTGGAATACCTGAGCACGCAGTGGTCATGATGGCTGGGACGCCATAGTAGGTGAAGGCTCCATTCTCGAAGCGAAGGCCTTCCTTCCCAACCTCCACCTCCACCTTCCCCTGGAGAAAAAAGGACGTGTGCTAAGGGTGTGTCCTCGCACTGCCGGTTCCATTACTGACTACAACCTCAGGCATTCCGTCTGGATAACTAGTGGACTTAAGTTCTTATCACCGGGGAATGTGAATTCTGTCCAGACTTACGTTTCAGAAACAGCACCTCCAACCTCGGTAGCCCTTGGCAGTAAATTAATTGCTTAGTTCATAAAGCAGCATCCAGTCATGAATAACCGAGCTCTCCTTGCATCCTGCAATGGCCCTTCCGTGGTGCAGGTCCGGGCACCAGTTAGCCCAGCACTCTGTAAACCGCCTCACTGGTTTAGTCTGAGGTTAGACCATCTCTAAGTCTGGTTGAAATAAAATCTGATACTGTGTAAGCTTGTTGAATTTATCACCACTAATAATGACAGTTAATGTGTAGCATATATATATATATATATATATATATATACACACACACATACATATGCATATATAGCATCCATGAGCCGGACACTGTTTTGTGTGCACGGTCAGGATTCTCACTCAATCGGTCCCACAACCCTATGAGGCCCATTCTGCCTTCGTCCCCAGTTCACAGATGAAGCAGTTTTGAGGTTCGGAGAGGTTCAATTCCTAACTCACCAGTTAGGAAGTGGTGACATTAGAATTTTAAAGCCAGATCTTTCCAATTTTTGAACCTACACTCTTGCCACTACATTATCCTCCCTCCAACTTTGATTTGAAAACAGTTAAGTTTATATTAAGTATAAGAGTAGATCGTATAGGTTCATGATGCTATTTAAACAACGTGACAGGACCCCTCTTGATTTCCAACAGTGAAGTATGAGACAATTTTGGGAGAAGGGAGGCCCCTTTTTCGAGGCTATGTGGAAGGATGGGTGTGAGGCACGCTGCTGTGTCAGAGCAGACAGACTGTGGTGGATCGGAACAGAGAGGCCACCTCTAAATTAATGTGAGCTTAACTACGATTTTAAGACAATCACTATATTTAGGGTTCAAATATCCTGTTGGGAAGAGACAGGGAACAGTGACCAAGCTAATGGAGGAGCCAGGCCAGGGCGCCAGCAGTATCCAGTGCTGGAACCACACCTGACACTTATTTACAGACCTATCCAGGCACCCAGGGCAGACGGTGGTCATAATTATGTGAGTTCCTGGAAGAGGCTGCATGTCTTCCACTCAGTCGTTCGTTTCCTTCCTGGTCCTCTGAAGGAGGAGAAGATTGAAAGGACTGCAAAGGCTGAGATGTTGCAGAGAGAGTGGACGTGTTCTGTGCACCCCCAAAGAGCAGAGAGCAAGGACCAGTGGGTGGAAGTCAGAGATGATGGGATTTCAGAGCAACAGAGGGAAGGACTTGAAACAAAAGGTATCTGAAGTTTGGGAGGCACTGGACAGTTCCATTTCTGGGCATGGCCAAGCAGAGGCGAGAAGGTGTTAGGGATTCTGTAGGGCAGCCGTTTTGGAAGTTCAAAAGCAGAGGTGCCCGCCGCAACCCACTACAAATATCGCTGAGTGGTCAGAATAAAAAGTGCCATCAAGGTCCCATCACTCCCAAGACACCAGCCAGTCATACCTGGCCCTTTCTTAGGGTCATGGTCAAACGCTCACCTCAACTGGCCTTGTTCCCAAGGCAGCCAGCCAAGTCTTGGAACCTCGCACTGGGGAGGCGTGGCCATTCCTCCCAGCCTGGGGACGCCCTCGCCTTGCCCTTCGAGGGTCCCTAATGTTCCCACTCACCTGGAGAAGCAGCACAAAATAGTCCACAGGTCGGTTGCGCTGGTAGAGGTAGTGTTCTGGGGCTTTCTTGTTCTTCTCATCAAACTTCAGCTCCTGGATCACGTTGGGATGTTTCAGGAGCCGAAGCAGGATCTTCTCTGAGAGGTACAGAGACTTAAAGGGCTCCACTTCTAGGGGAGAGAGGGAGGCAGGACAAATCAACAGCTGGGAGGCGTGAGGGCGGGCACAGCCAGATCAACCAGGGCATGTGTGTCTACAGCCATCTCCACTTATGCTCTAGGCACCCAGCTGGCAGGGCTCTGCGACTCCCTAGGGGCTGGGGTGCATCTCAGGCCTTCCCCATGCCCTCTGGAGATGTGTGTGCCTGCACTGGCCCCTCAGGAAACCGGACATTTTGGAAGTGTCAGTTTTGTTATTAATTTTCTCCTTTCGGCCTCCGTCTCCCACCAGGAAGCGAGTGGAGGAAGGGAAAGTGCAGCAGTGGTTTCTTTAGCTCTTTTCTGAGTAGAAGAGAGATGAGCAGAGTTGGGTTGGATTCACTTTCTCCCTAGACGATCAGGCTGGGGCTGGAATGACAGTATGTGATATCCGGTCGCCCTACCTAACGCAACCTCTTCTGGAACTGAGGTTCTCAGTCCCGGGTGCACACTGGAATTAGGTTGCAAGGTAATAAAAATGATTGGTGCCTGGGTCCCACCCTCTAGATCAGCGGTTCTCAACCTGTGGGTCGCGACCCCTTTGGGGGTCGAACGACCCTTTCACAGGGGTCGCCTAAGACCATCGGAAAACAAAAAGATATTTACATTACGATTCATAACGTAGCAAAATTACAGTTATAGAGTAGCCACGAAAATAATTTTATGGTTGGGGGTCACCACAACATGAGGAACTGTATTAAGGGGTCGCGGCATTAGGAAGGTTGAGAACCACTGCTCTAGATGCTGCTTTCCCCGCCTAGGGTGGGGACACAGATGGGCAGTCATACCTGTGGCCATGAAGCGGTGTGTGGCCAGCAGGAGCTGTGGAGAGATCTTCACCCGCATCTCCGAGTCAGAAAGCTTAAACAAGGAAAAGTCATGCCGCTTCCTCTCCCGGTGCGGGACCCTCTGCTTTTTCCGATTGTCGGCTGTGGATCACAGGGACATGTTGAAGCTAGCTCAGAATCACTGCTGGGTTTCAGAGGTTTTCTCAGAGTTACACAGGACAGACAGATCGTTTGGGACCACATGAATTTCTGCGAAGTATCAACTGTAGGTGACATTACAACACCTCTCCCGGGGAGTGGAAGGATGCTGATAAGGGATAGAAGGTGGGAGATGCTATAATCTTCTCGTAGGTGGTGCATATTGGAAAAAGGGACAGGCTGGCCTGGGACTCCTAAGGTCAGGATTCGAGGGCTGGCTCCCCTACTTACAAGCTGTGCAACCTCTCTAAGCATCAGAATGTTTGTTTGTTTTAATTACACAACGAGGTTAATAATTAATAATAACTCTTTTATTCATCTCACGCAGTTATCGTGAGACTCCCACCAGGAACTATCTGTGAAGTGCCTACAAAAGGGCGTTCAAACATTAGGGACTTGCATTTTCAGCGTCAGGGGGTTTGGGGGCCCCAGGGGTTGCCGTCTCTGTCCCTCTTGTGTCCCCAGAGCTGGGTCCAGCTGGTCTCTTCCTGCTGATTTCAGCCACATTCTGAGCAATGCCCGAGGCATGCCCCCCCAGGAAGAGGGTGTTCGCGTCCTCTTTCCACTCACAATTCTCCTGCTTCAACTCTGGCCCCTCCATGGGGAGAGAATTGGGGCAGACAAAGGGAAGAACAAAGGAGAAGAAATAGGAACAGTCCCATAACCTACAAAGATGAGTTCTCTGGGTGAGGGCCCTAGGCAGGACCTGGAGGAACTTAAGAGAGCCTGATTATTGATGGATAAAATTTCCTTTTTCCAGTTTAACCTTTATTCCTTTCTTCTTTTAATCTTGTCTTAAAAAAACATTTTTTGGAGTGAGGGGGCGTTTTTTGCTTTAGTCATGTCTCTTTCGCTTTCCCTTAATTTTGAGTAAAATTTGGACACGTCCAGCCTATTTCATCTGTGCTAAGGGGTTTTCTCCAAACTTGGCCTGGAGAAGAACCAGGCCTGTGGGGAACTTTCAGTGCAGGCTGAGTGGACACAGTGGAAATTAAAGGGAATGAACCCCCAGGCCAGGGAACTAGGGCCCAGGGTTTGGCTGCCTTGGACTCTCCCTCTCCTTCTGGGGCTCACCTCAGCCAGGCTGTTTGGGTTTCCTTCTAGAAAGGAGAAAGCGCCCCACACGGCGCTGCTGTCAGGGCCTGCCTTGGACCCTGAGCTCTGCTTTAACTCTCCTTTTGCTCAGGTTGCAACAGTGGTGAGATCTAGTCCCAACCTTCCTGTGGGTCAGGGTCAAGTGAGAAGCAACACAGTGTTCCTGGCTCCTCGGCCATCTCACAGCTCTTAAGGAATCATGCCAGAAGCTTATTCACCAGGGTGGGAAAACACGAACCCTCTCCTTCAGAAAAAGGATCAATCGCCCAGCAAGGCAGCAGCGAGTATTCGTATGGGACCAGTTCTTTTGCTCTACACTAGTGAGGAAGCTTCTGATTTGCATGACATGTTTGCCTAAATGTCTCCCTCGCTCCTCCATCAGAATGCCATTTAGCATTTCATCATGGAGAATCACTCCTCTGATCTTCTTCATTCCTTTTATTTTCATAGTGAGTATTTGGAGCATGAAGGTTGTTAAAACAAATGCCCTAGGAGGAGCTTACTCATGTAGACCACGACCACTGCTGTTGGCCAGTAACACTTCAGTGTGAATGTCTTTGCAGATACATCTATGAGCCGCTTGGGAATTCTGGTGGGCAGAGGTGAAGGGAGAAGGGAGAGGGAATGGGAGGCAGAGGTCAATCCCTATCTGAAGAAGGCAGACCTGGCAAGGGCCTCACAGCAATGCCAGGTACTCTGACACTCCTGGTATTCTGTTCTGTCAAGGCCTCACCCACATTTTAGATTTGATCTCTTTTTCAGTCCAAAGGCAAGGCTCTCTTTCTGTACTGCTCAGGGCCTTACAGTATCAAAGCGTTTTCTATTGGGGGCAAGTTTTTGAATGGCTGCTTCTAGCAAACTAAGGACAGGGGTCTGGAATTAGTTATCTGAGGGATGGAGAAAGGATTGTTGTCCCATGAGGTGAAACTTGGAGGAAACACTTTCTGGCCTAGGGACTCCCATGGATTTAGATAATACTCTCACCCCAGAAACAAAGCATGTCTTTGCAATGTTTGCAAGCAAAGTTTGCTAAGGCTTAGGAACCAAACACAGTCACTATCTGCATAGAAGAGTCCATACTATTCTGGACTCTTCAGGAGTGGGTAGGAGGATGAGAAGACCAGAAAGGGGGGAGCAGGGCCAGGGGCCAGGGGTGGGGAAGAGAGGGGAAGGGGGAACCAGGTGGTGGGGCTGAAAAAGCATAAGGGAGAAGAGCATGTCTAAGAAGGGACATGGGAGGTTTGGCTTAGGTTGCAATGGGCGATCTCATGACGGTCTCCATTGTGCATGACATTTTGGTGTGAGCAGATTGTCGAATGGAACCCCAGGGAGTGCTGGGGTCTGCATCTAGATGGATAAAGAGACAAAACAAGAAGAACACAGGGAACAGAAACAAGGGCAGAGTGGCCACCCGAGGTACACTTCGTTCCTTTTTCATCCAAAGGCCAGGAGGTCTCCTTTCCATAGTCTTGGTTCCGGAAGGTTCCCACCTGATAAACCTTTAGTTAGGATGGTCTCAGGAACTCAGGGGGGTGATTCAAGCTGGCGTATATTGCTGTGCAAGTACCTGCATTAGGGGGCTGACACACAGCAATGCATAGGGCTTGTCTTGACACCCTTTCACACTGTCTATCAAGCTAAGCCAGCTCTGAGGGTCTCAGAGGAAAATATGATGACGTCAGACAATAGCCAAGGCCAATGCACTTACTGTAGAGGTCAGTTTCATCCAGGATCTCCGACTTAATGATCTCCTCTATGATGTCCTCCAGTGTGACGATGCCCATCACCTCATAGAAGGGATCCCCTTCTCCCTCATTATTTACCCGCTGGACAATGGCCAGGTGAGATTTCCCTAGAGAACAAATGAAGTCACTGTTAGGCATCTGGGACATTTTCAGAGACCTTTCCATGTGAGGAAATTATACAAAGTTGCTTTCTGACTAATTCCGAGACTGAACCTAGCCCAGGACCTCCTTAAAATATGAAGTTAATGTACAAGTTCATATAAATGCAAAGCTTTTACACCTCTGTTTCTTTTTAGGAAAGTTACTAATATACACAAAGCCAGTTAAATTCTTTTTTCTTTTAACTTTCACATATTAGCAAGTACAACGGACCCTTGAACAATGTGGGGGGTAGGGGCACTGACCCTCGTGCAGTCGAAAATCTGCATATAACTTTTGACACAACAGTCAGCCTCTTGCAACTGGGGATCAAAAACAGTATTGGGAATGCAGAAATACTGTTCTGAGCCACGGTTGTTGGTTGAGTCTGCAGATGCAAAACCCATGGATATAAAGGACTGACTGTATTTATTGAAAAAAATCCACATATAAGTGGGCCCTTGCAGTTCAAAGCCGTGTTGTTTAAGGGTCAACTGTATATCTAAGCTGAAAAAGGATGAATAGTCTAACTGAAAGAACAAAAATTTGGAGTCAGAATAACTAGGTTAGAAGCCTTTTCCTCCTCCAAACTTCCCCCATTCCCTACCCTTTAACTATTCCAGTTACTATCTGTGCAAATGGCCCTCATCAAATCATTTAACCTCTACTGAGATTCAATCATTATAGGATTAGAGAATAAAACCAGTACTGCCCCCAAATCTTTGTTACACCTCTCATTGAGAGGTGTGGTCTCTACCCTCTTCCCTTGAGTCTGGGTGGGCTTGTGACTACTTCAACCAACAGAGAACAGGCATTTGTCTGTCTGCTATGAGACTTCTGAAGCTAGGTCATGAAAAGCATGTGGCTTCTGCAATAGAAACACACTAAAAAGTCTGATGACTACCCTGAGGCTACCATGATGGAGAGGCCACATATAGGTATTTAGGTGACAGTTCCAATTGACCCTGACCTTCCAGCCATCCCACCAAAGTGCCAGACAGGTTAGCAGAGGAGCCATCTTGGCAGTGGATCTGTAATCTCAGCTGCTTCAGCCCCATCCTCTAAAGTTCTCCAAACCCAGCTGCTGGCATAGACACTGTGAGGCAGAGATAAGCAATTCTTGTGGTACCTTGTCCGAATTCCTGACTCACAGAACCTGTGAGCATAATAAAATGGTGGGTACCATAAGGGGATTGTGGAGCTCAGATGACCTAGTGGATGTGTGAAAGCGCTTTGTAAACTATAATGTGTTAATTAACTAAGGCAGTTAGTTAATTTTTATTGCCCAACAACTGAATAATAATAGTTAACATTTATTGAGCTCTAACTATGTGCCAGGTACTCTTCAGAGCACTTTACGTGTATTGATATATTTAATCCTCATAACAAACCCTGAGGCAAGTACTATTATTATCCTCATTTTAAAGAGAAAAGAACTGAGGTACAGAATGGTTAAGTAAACATGCTAAAGTTACACAGCCACTCATAAGTGGCAGAGCTAGATTGCGAAGCCAGGTAACTGGGTTCAGTCCTAACCTAGGGACCAAGTCTTACCTAACGGTCCTGCTTTAGCTTGGTTTGTTTTCATCTGCTGATGAACACATTTCCTGATCCTGTTTCCCAAATGAAAATCTGGGTGGTTGTTTTCCTTGTCTAAGAGACATTTAAGGAGAAAACCTAGAGTACTGACTAGAATGTTATTCTCGCAAAAAAAAAAAAAAGTTCATGCTTTATCAGTGTTACTTTTTATAAACTTTTGCTTGGTCATTGCTAAAAAATATCAGATAAGAGGAATAGTCAGTTTGCTGGAGGCAGAATTAACCATTAAAATGTAAACACATGTGCTTCTGTAGCAAATACTTCAAATTACAATAAAGCTACCTATTGGGATTTTTAATTGGAAAGGTGGCATTTGTGTCACTCAAGGGTGGTCTCTAATTTCTTCTCCACCTTCAACCTATCCTTCGACTTACTTCTAAGCTGATCTGACTATGCCATTGACCTGCTCAGAAACCCTCCATGGCTCCCTAGTGTGCACAGAAGGAAATCCTGACTCATGACTTTGGGATTATAAAGACTGCAAAATGTGGCTCTTTTCTATCTTTCTAATTGCATGCCCTGCTACATCCCATAATCATCCTCTGTGCCAACTGCCCCAGGTTCCCTCCATTCCCTCTGCGTCCTCCATGTCCACTTTCTAAGTCTTTGCTCACACTCTTTCCTTCTCCCTTTCCATCTCCATTTGCTCTTCAAGTTCCAGCTCAGGCACTAGCATCTCAAGAAAGCATCCCTGGATTTTCCTCGTTCTGAATCTGAACCAACCTCTCCTTGCCTGTGTTTCTAAGCCCTTGATAACTCCATTAGAGCATTTATCACACAATTTGCTCCTTCTCATAACTAGCAATGTGTGTGTCTTCTACTGGACCATGGTTTTTTCCTCAGATCATAAGCTTCTTCAGGACACAGACTTAGATAGGGTATCTTCCATATAACAGGCAGCCAACAAATGCCTGAAGAACTGAACTAAGACTGAATAAAAATCCATAATGGATAGAATGGATGATTTTAAAACCAGACACCAAAACCTTTACTTTTTAATAAAATGCAATGTGTTTAAATTAAATTTTAAACTCTGCCACAGTGGTTTTAAAAATACCCTTCTTTGAAACAACTGCATCCTACCCTACTGAAGGGTTTTGTAGCTTAAATTAGATTATGTTATGTGTTAGAATATGCCGAATTTAAAGTTTTTTTTCCAACACAGTGTTCTTATACTTATGGCACCTGTTCTCATTTTTCTGCTAACATGTGCTAGCAGATGACAAAATAAGTATTATGGAAAAACTTGGAAAAGTGATTTCTTAAAATTATTTTCTATACTTGGATACTTTTTATATGTGGAGCCTAGAATATATATAATACAGTCATACTTACTGCAGCTAAGAGATTAGTTCATATGATGGGATTAAATAAATTAAAATTTTATGATGTTTCACAAGAGTACTGTAACTTCCATGTGAATATCTTCCATTGGTTTACACTTTATAAGGTCAAATTGAAGACACAATATGTGATCACCAGGGAATAGAGATTTTAAGTCCTAATTATATAATATCAAGGCAATGTACATAGGCAATCTATTTAGAAACATTTTATAATCCACAATCAACCTCTATGATTCCCTCAAGTGTCTGTAGAGATCTACAAACAAATGAAGACGTCATTCTTTCTTGGGTACAGGCTGTAACAGGAATTAACAATCACATAACCCTGTTCTGAGCTGACACTCACAGGGACAAGAAAACCAGCTGTTCCCGTGATATACATACTTGAAGTCCATCCTCTCTCAAAAAGGTTAGTCTTTGAGAGACCTATCTCTTTGTACCCCTCCTCCTCTTGGGCCCCAGAGTGATGGAGATGACCCCAAGGGAGGCCAATCTTGAGACATCGAAAAGTTAGTCACTCTCCTGCCATAGCACTTTGAACATACCCCTCTATTGGCATTTATAATAACAATAATAACCATTATTATTATATTATTATTATTATTATTATTGCAGCTACCATTTGCTGTACACACTCTAGGGGCAAGGCAGAGTGTTAACATCATACATACATTATTTCACCATGTTGTTCTCTATTTATATGTGATCTCCCCACTATGATAGTAAGCTCTCTGAGAGGCAACAGGTAGGTTCTACTTATCTCCGTTTCCCCAGAATCTAGACTAGCACTTGGCATAGAGTGAGAACTCCGTAGCTAATGGGTGATAACTAGATATCCATATGCAGAAGAATGAAGTTGGATGCTACCTCACTCTATACACAAAATATAATTAGAAATGGACCAAATACCTAACTGTAAGAATGAAAACTATAAAACTCTTAGAAGAAAACATAGAAGTAAGTCTTTGTGACCTTGGAGTAGAAAATGGTTTTTTAGATAAGACATCAAAAGCACAAGTAACTAAGGGCGAAAAAAATATACAAACTGGACTTCATCAAAATTAAAAAGGGATACTATCAAAACAAAAAAGAGACAACTTATAGGATGGGAGAAAATGTTTGCTAATCATATATATGATAGGAAGTTTGTATCCATAATATATAAAGAAGAATTACAACTCATAAAAACACAACTCAGTCAAAAAGTGGTTTTTCCATGCAAATGGCCTGTCTTGGCTCCAGCTGCAGACATTCCTGAAATCTCTCAAATGTTCACAAACCCCAAACAAGCAGCATCGGCCTCAACATGCCCTGTATCTCATTCTTTAGCGCCCCAAGCTTGGCACTAATAGCAGCCAGCTTCAGTTTGCAGCTTAGCCTCCCCCAGGAACCTTCAAGTCCAGCACAAGTGGCAACTATCTGCAGATCACTTTGTAGCTCATACTAAGTGGCCCGGACAGAGCACAGGCAGCAGTTGACCTTGGCCTGCACCAGAACCCTTCCCAAGAGGCCCCAGTGGCCAGCTTCAGACCACACCAGAGAACCCCACCCAAACTATCTCCACAAATGACATACCCAAAGGGCAAACTTGGCAGGCACCAGAGCCCTGCTAAAGCAAATCCTACTCTGTAGGGTCAGCCCCTGCACAACAGCTCCCCCACTGTAGTCACTGCCAGCCCTCACAACCCATCAGCCTGAGGGTCAATCCCTCTCATTGACATGCAAACAGAAATCAAGGTTCAACTACAACAGGAGAGCACAGACAACCTACACAACGGACACCCCTAGAGTACCCAGCTCAGGTGGCCAGGGAGACTGCACCACTGGACCCCATAGAGCACCTACTACATAAGGCCACTCTACTAAGACCAGGAGACATAGCAGCTCTACCTAATACATAGAAACAAACACAAGGAGGCAGCCAAAATGAGGAGACAAAGAAACATGTCTCAAATGAAAGAACAGAACAAAACTACAGAAAAAGAACAAAACAAAATGGAGACAAGCAATCTACCAGATGCAGG